TGTGAAGCTTGATGATTCGAATTACTTGAATTGGCAATTTCAAATGCAATTGTTGCTTGAAGGTCATGGGATCTTGGCTTTTGTTGATGGTTCACATGTGTGTCCCCCTCGATATGTTCCTGATTCTGCTAATTCTGATGGTTCTGGTGATAGCTCTGCTCTAACCGAGAATGAACACTATATTGTTTGGAAGATGCACGACCGTGCTCTTATGCAGTTGATCACTGCTACTTTGTCTCCTGTAGCGATTTCATGTGCCATTGGTAGTACCAGTGCTTGTGATTTGTGGACTCGGTTGAAGGAACATTTTTCGGTGGTATCTCGTACTAGTATATTTCAACTTAAGTCGAATCTTCAGACTATTCGAAAGGGTTCAGATTCGGTGTCTCAATATCTGCAGCGTATTAAGGAAGCTCGGGATTATTTGTCAGCCACTGGGGTTACTTTTGCCGATGAGGATATTGTTATCCTTGCTCTTAATGGCTTACCTCCTGAGTATAATACCTTTCGCAGTGTTATTCGGGGTCGTGAGAATGTTATTTCTCTAAAGGAGTTTAGGGTACAATTGCTTGCTGAGGAGCTGATTGTTAACAGCAATATGAACTCATCGATTCTCACTGCTATGATGGCTAATAATTCTGGTTCTAAGTCCTCTACCACTTCTCCTCGATCTGGGGGTTCAGGTCTTGGTTTCTCGGGTCACAATAATGGCTTTAATAGTGGTTATTCTGGTTCTTCAGGAGGCTATCGATCTTTTACCAACAAGAAGGGCAAAGGAAAATTTTATCAAGGGAATAGGTATCCTCATTCTAATTCTCGACAGCAGTTTCACACTAATTTTCCTAATTCGCATCCTGGTGTTCTTGGCCCTTCACCACAATATTTTGGTTCTCATACCCCACCACAGGTTTCTTGTCAACTGTGTAATACATTTGGTCACACGGCTCCGTTCTGTAACTCCAAATCAACGGATAGGCAAGGGTGTAACATCTGTGGTAAAGCAAATCACACTACCTGGTATTGCTTCTTCAATGACAAAGGTCCTAACTTCGGTGGTCCCCATCATTATACAGCACCTATGACTGCGCATCCTTCTTCTGCTCCTAACTTTGGTGCTCCACCATTCTCACCTCAGTCTCATATGCAAGCTATGCACACAGTTACTTCTACATCGTCTCCAGCTTCCACATCCTCTTATCAACCACAGATGTGGATCACTGATTCCGGTGCTACAAATCATATGACCGCTGACCTCAGTAACTTGTCATTGGCTTCTCCTTATCCCACCAATGAGACTGTCCAAACTGCAAATGGTGAAGGTTTGCACATATCTCATATTGGTAGCTCCATTATTCCAACACCTATGCATCCCCTAAAACTCAATTCTGTTCTCTATGTGCCTAGACTTTCCAGCAACTTGTTATCCGTTCACAAAATTTGTCTTGATAACAACTGTTGGTTAATATTTGATGCTTATTATTTCTGGATTCAGGACAAGGTCACAGGGAGGATATTATACAAAGGCCCATGCAGTAATGGACTCTATCCCATCTTTTCCCCTCTCCGTCCTCACACATTTCATCGTCCAGGTCCTTCTCCAGCTTCTGCATTTCTTGGTCAGATTGTCAGTTCTCATCTCTGGCATAGTAGGTTAGGTCATCCTATTAATAACATAGCCAAAATAATGCTCAATAAGTCTTCCATTTCTTGTACAAAGGATGTTGTCCCATTGATGTGTCATGGTTGCTTAGAAGGCAAGTTTACTAAACTACCTTTTTAGTCTAGTGATCATAAGTCTGTCATTCCTTTTGAAACTTTACACAGTGACCTTTGGGGTCCTTCTCCATGTACTTCCATTGATGGCTATAAATACTATGTGACTCTTATTGATGAGTGCACTCGTTATTGTTGGTTGTTTCCCCTTGTCTACAAGTCTGATTTTTTTGACACATTTGTTGGGTTTTACTCTTTTGTACAAACACAATTCTCAGCATCTATCAAAACATTACAAACTGATGGTGGTGGAGAATATTCCAGTGTTAAACTTCAATCTTTCCTTCATAGTAAAGGTATTACACACCATAAGTCGTGCCCCTATACTCCGGAACAAAACGGTTTGGCTGAGAGGAAACACAGGCACATTATTGAGACCACTGTCACACTCCTCCAATCTGCACAATTGCCTTCTCATTTCTGGTCCTTTGCCTGTCATGTTGCTGTGTATCTTATAAATCGTATGCCTACTCCTATCTTGAAACATTGTTCTCCTTTTGAGGCTCTCTTTGGCACCCCTCCTATCTTAACTCATCTTCGTGTCTTTGGTTGTTCTTGCTTTCCCCTATTGAGACCTTACAATACCACCAAGTTACAACCTAAAACCAAAGAATGTGTTTTCCTTGGGTATGCCTCAAAGTACAAGGGTTTTATATGTTATGATGGCTTAACAGGTAGAGTTTATATCTCTCGTCATGTTGTCTTCAATGAGTCTAGATTCCCATATCCTCATTTGACTATGAAACCTCTATCTACCTCTGTCCAAGTACCTCTCCCTCAGCCTTTCCCTGTACATCCTGTTATTGATCTACATAACACCTTAGTTACGCCTCCACTTACACTCTCACCCTCACCATCTCTGTCCGTGAATGATGTTGTCTCTTCATCATCCATTCCCATGTCTTCTTTCCCCAATACTTCTCCTTCTGTTTCAGTACCATCTCATAGCATACTGTCCTCCCCAGAGAATGTTGTTTCTCCGTCCATTACTGCACCTGCTTGTTCTTCCCCATTACCCCATGTGGATCCTATGTTCAATTCTGATGACCTTCAAGTGGTCTTGCCTATAGCACCGCTTAATCTACATCCTATGCAAACAAGAAGTAAGGCTGGTATAATAAAAAAGAAAGTGTTGCTTAGTCAGCTTCATGATTCTAGTCCGGTTGATTTAGCTCAAGTGGAACTTGCTACGTATAAGTCTGCCCTGAAAACCCCAGTTTGGTTGAATGCTATGACAAATGAGTTGGCTGCCCTTCACAATCAAAACACATGGAGTCTAGTTCCTTTGCCACCTAAAAAGAATCTGGTGGGTTGCAAATGGGTGTTTAAGCTCAAAACGTACTCTGATGGTTCTATTGCTCGACATAAGGCCCGCTTGGTTGCCAAGGGGTTTAATCAGGAACCTGGCTTAGATGATGAGGAGACTTTCAGTCCAGTGGTTAAGCCAACCACCGTGCGTCTTGTTCTAGCTTTGGCAGCCCACTTTAATTGGTCCCTGCGGCAGTTGGACGTGAAGAATGCCTTCCTACATGGGGTGTTGAATGAAGAGGTCTACATGGCTCAACCTCCTAGTTTTGAAGATCATTCTCATCCTGAGCTCGTGTGCAGACTTCATAAGTCCCTATATGGATTAAAACAAGCTCCTCGAGCCTGGAATGAGAGGTTCACAGGGTTTCTTCCATCTTTGGGATTTCAGTCTACATATTCTGATTCTTCCTTGTTTGTTAAGTTTGTTGGTAGTGATATTGTCATCCTCTTACTTTATGTGGATGACATTATTATCTCTGGGAGTTCTTCTTTTGCTATTCAGCAGGTTATTCACTCATTGACCACTGAATTTGATATCAAGGATTTGGGAGAGTTGCATTACTTTCTGGGGATTCAGGTTACCACAACTGCTCAAGGCTTATTCTTGTCACAATCAAAGTATATCCAAGATTTATTGGCGAAGGTTGACATGTTGGATTGCAAAGCCTGTGACACTCCATGTCTTCCTTATAATCGGCTTTTAAAGGATGATGGTCTTCCATACAACAATCCAACAGCATATAAGAGCATTGTTGGCGCGTTACAGTATCTCACTTTCACTCGGCTTGACATTACTTTCTCAGTTCATCAAGTCTGCCAATTTATGCAGTCTCCAATGATGTCCCATTTCACAGCAGTGAAACGTATTCTGCGCTATCTTAAGGGTACTTTATTGGTTGGTCTCTCTTATACTCGGGGTGATTTGTCATTAAAGGCTTTTAGTGATGCAGACTGGGCAGGGGACCCTAATGATCGCTGGTCGACTACTGGCATGGTTGTCTTTTTGGGCAATAATCCTATTTCCTGGTCCTCCAAGAAGCAAAACACGGTTTCCCGGTCCTCTACAGAGGCTGAGTACAGGGCTCTGTCCACTACAACTGCTGAGCTTGACTGGATTCAGCAATTGTTACAGTTCCTGCATATTAAAATCTGTGATGCTCCTGTGCTTTTCTGTGATAATCTTTCTGCCATTGCATTGTCGTTCAATACTGTTCAGCATCAACGGACCAAGCATATTGAGATTGATGTGCATTTTGTCCGGGAACGTGTTGCTAAGAAGACACTCCTGGTTCAGTTTGTTTCTTCTCGGGAACAATTTGCCGATATACTCACTAAAGGCCTCAGTGCTCCTCTCTTTCGATCTCATTGCTTCAACCTCATGCTTGGTTCCTCCACGGCATGAGTTTGAGGGGGCATGTAAGGATATAGATAGTGGCTAGGATTATGCCATTTGTTAAAACGAGAAACTGAATGTTTAGTTAGTCAATTAGAAAGGTAGTCTTTTATATAAATAGATCATTGTAATGACTTACTGTTTAAGAAAGATAAATACAACAAATCTTTGCAGCTTCTCTCTCTAAACCTTCCTCTCTCTCTCTGGTTCTTGAATTCCTATTCCTTCATTTGTTCTTCCTCTGTCTATGTTAACACTTACAAATGAAAAAAAATATCAATTAACCGTAATACTATGTGGTAAGATTTACTATAATTCTATACATGTGAGATTAAGAATGGGAATCAAACGCGGGACCTCGATTTCTGAAGTTAATTCTCTACCCAATGTAAGTTACAAAAGCCTTGTGACAGCACCACTTGAAAATGGAGCTCCAAATCCAATCAAAACAACAGGCCCAATTCTGTATCATATTATACATTGCCACAAAACGCAACGTCTCATAACATACAAAGTTACAAACAAAAGACGACTGGCAAATTGATGTCGGCCAATAAAATGGAAATAAAAAGGATATATATTTGATATATTCGGGCGCTTCAACCTTCCCGATCACGATATCCGTTTGCTCTTCGACAAGTTTCGTTTCGTTTCGCCTCGCCTCTCCGATTCAAAAGTAAAGATTCAATCTTTCCATCTCAATTTTCGCTCTCCTTTGATTTCTGTCAATTGCAACGTAGAACAAACCCTAGAATTTAAATCCCATCGCTCGGACAATTTTCGATTCTCTGTTTCGAAAAAGCTCGAAATTGCTGTGTCATTTTTTGTAATCGCAGGTCGATTCTATTGCATTAATTTCTGCTCGCTGATTGTAATTAGACATTTTATTAGGAGTTGTAAAAACGCCAGAATTTGAATTTGAAATTGTTGAGTTATCGAACCCCTTTTGGGTTTACTAGCACTAGGGTTTCGTATTGATCGCAAATTAGATTAGATTCTAGTAATTTTTGTTTTTTTTCCTTTTGTGGGTGTAGTAGTTTTTGAGAATTCTGATTGAGTTTGTCTCTCTAGGGTTTGATCTTCGAATTTCAAGATGCCTGCCACAGCGGGAAGGGTTCGCATGCCCGCGAACAATCGGGTACACAGTAGTGCCGCCCTTCAAACCCACGGTATATGGCAGAGTGCAATTGGGTATGACCCCTATGCACCCAATAAAGATGACACCAAGAGCTCTGCGCAGCCCGATGTGTCGAACGCTGATCCGGATGGTGAGAATGCATATGCGAGTTTCCAGGGCCTCCTTGCGCTTGCCCGTATAACTGGGTCCAGCGCCGATGAGACTCGTGGGTCGTGCAGCAGGTGCGGCCGTGTTGGACACCTCAAGTTTCAGTGCAGGAACTTTCTGAGTGTTAAGGAAGATAAAGAGAGAGAGCCGGAAGGGATTCAGGGTGATGTTGCATCAGAGTTGGCTAGGTTGAAGGGGAAGATCGGTAGGACGAGTGGGAAAAATGTGGATGAGAGTGAGGAGAGTGAGGATGAGGATGAAGACAGTGAGAGCGAGGATTCGGATTATGATTCAGAGATCGAGAAGATCATTGCTCAAAAAAATGGGATAAAGGTTAGTAAAAAGAAGTCGAAAAAGAAGAATGATGACACAGACGATGATGAGTCAGATTCAGATTCTGGGAAGAGGAAGAAGAGAGGAAGGTCGAAAAAGAGGAGGAGCAGCAAGAGGAAATATGATGATGATTCAGATGAGTCAGATGAAGGTAGGAAGAGAAAAAGGAAGGAGAAGCGGAGGAAGAGGGATGAGTCCTCAGATGAGGATGGCGAGCGTCGGCAGCGGCATAGGAAAAGTAGGAAGGAGAAGAGGAGGAGGAGAAGTCATCGGCATTCAGATGATTCTGAATCTGATTCGTCTGATGATTCTCGTAGACACCATCGGAGGAGCAGGAAGGCAGCAACACCATCTGATTCTGACGATGATTCACGGGTAGGTAGGGGCAGGAAGCGATCTGAGAAGAAGAGCTTGAAACGCCGTCACAGGGATGATGAGTAAATCTTCCTACGAATGGAGTGTACACCAGCAAGTCACTGACTATCTTATGTAGTTTGCAACAATATGCTTTTGCAACCTTTGTATTGCTTCTGTTAATTTGCTTGGACAAGCTTCCGTTGCGTTTGGATCTTTTGCTTTGTGAGATGAAACTACTAGGCCGCTGATTCAGAAGTTTGAATTTCTGGTAATGTGTATTTAATCTTGTGTCTTTTTCTGTTAAGAATTTACATTTCATACCGTCAATTGTGATGGTTTCGATGTGTTTGTTCTATGTTTCCGACAATCTTGTGCTTTGTACAGTATTCTAGCGTTGGGATTTGTTTTTAGCGCTCCAAAATTGTCATCTCAAACTCGTATAGCATCTCTCGAAAAATTAGTTTTGTTACGTTGCTTTGATATTTTGCATCATTTCATGTGGAGCTGTAAAATCCAAGCACGCAACGCTCTTCTGCCATTCATCACCTTAATTGAAGAGCGTCGAGATTAACATTTCTCCGGGAATTTCCGCTCCGATTTATACATTTTTACTTGAATTGAAAGGCACAAAATTAAGTAAAGGTATGGCCCATTCATTAAAACAATTAATTTATTGATCACATTGAGGAACAGTAAAAACTCTAATCAGACAGCAACTTACGGATCCCTTGCATCTACACAATACAATTTTGCTGTTTTAGCTTGGATAAGAAAAGTGAAATCATGAAAAATGGGTACAACTACCATTTGTCCTGTTTATGTAAGAACGGGGGGACATTCTCTAAGAAAGCAAGAAAACAACAGGGTAAGACGGGCATGACCGGGCGTGATCTTGCTGATTTGATGACTAATCTTGTGTTGCAGCTCCCTGGTTGAGCTCTGCAAACCTCATGCCAACACGCATGGAATGCTTTAGGAACTTCTCAGCACATCGCCTCACACAGGTTTCCTCTTGCTTCTGCAGCGATTTGTGCTTAAAGGTGTCTACACAATCATTGAAGCATCTCTCAACAAGTGAGTTGTACATTCTCAAACTGCAAGCAAACTCATATTGTTAGCAGGTCGTTTCCGTCCTTTACGGTGGCAATGGCATCAGAAAAGCTCAATTCAAGGACCTTCACAACATATCCTATACAGATACTAGGCCAAAATACTATCTCAAAATACGTAACAGATATTTTTCATACAAATAAGTCCAACTTAGTAGCCAAGTACCACGAAACAATACCTTAATTATGATGTTCTGTACATGTTCCGAGTAGCTTATGAAAACAGAAAAAACAAGTAAGCATAACGAAACAGAACAAGCTGTTCAAAGTCTGAAGGAATCACAAAATTTGAAGTAGAAATGCCTGGATGAAAAAACAGAGGAAGCATAAGCTGTACAAGCTTACGACAGAAGGTGCAAGATAATTGCTTACGGTTGTAAGCAACAAGGTCCAGGCGATTAACCAGTATCTCATCTAATTACACTCAGGAATAAACACCATTTGCATTAACACAACTAATGTAGTTCCCAAAACGTCCAGAAGCAACACCGATGTTGCACTGTTTTTAAGGAGAACCTCTATATGGCTTCACAAAGAGTTTTCACAAAATTAAAACATGTGATGCACATCTTACAAATAGGAATTGTGAAGCAACAAATCTAAGTCAATCAAATTCCTTGATGTTCCATGCTCTTCATAAAGATACTAAGGCCGTGTTTGGTGCCTAGGACTCGAATGGATTGGACAACTAACAAGATTCATCAGGTGATCAAATAGTGACTCATCAAATTTTCTTTTTGTTAATTGGGTAAAACTCATACACTCAGTAATAAACAACATTTGCATTAACGCATAACTAATGTAGTTCCCAAAACGTCCAGAAGCAACACACATATGTTGAACTGGTTTTAGGAGAACTTCCAAATGGCTTCACAAAAAGAGTATTCACAAAATTAAACCAAGTGACCTGCATCATACAAAAAGGAATTGTGAAGTGACAAATCTTAGTCAATCAAATACCTTGATATTCCATGCTCTTCACAAAGATACCAAGGCCATGCTCGGTTCCAAGGACTCGAAAGGATTGGACAACTCATAAGATTGAATTGTTAAACTATAAGTTAACTTCTTTACAATATTTTAATATTGAATTGTTAAAAATGCAGTACAAGAACACCACCAATAAACTACACAAGCACTACAAAGCTACTACTAAAACACTACAAATGCACTACAAAAAGAATAAACAAAGGAATATCAAACGACACCTCTCATTTCAAAGTTCCTTCAAATGTATTGCATCTAGTTGTTTTCAAGTCTCTCTATCTAATTTTTGTAGTTCATTCTTAATAAATTTAAAGTCCATGGAACTTTAAAGTCCTGCAGCGAAACACCTATCAACTTCAACAAAATGTAGATGTTGGCATTCATTTCTTACTTCAACATACATTGAATTTTGTGAATTATCCAAACTATCCCAATCTTCAAGGGGTCCGGAAACATTATTTTTCCGTCTAAATACCCACTTCATCGAAGACAAAGTGATCAGTAGGAATCTAACTGCAAACGAAAACACGAGGTATTGCATTACATAGCACAAATTGAAGCAGGACAAACTACCCAATATATAAGAAACGCAAAAACAAATTGGCCAACGAAATCTAAGACATCAAACATGTACTACCCAAAATTCTATCATATACCCACAATCTCTTGTCTCATAAATTAGAAAAAAAAATTCAGACTTTTAGAAAAAATTCAAATTTCGAGTTCCTACATAGTATCAAGCTGAAATTCACAAAAGTTAAGAGCTCAAGAGATAGATGACGAAAATTTAAGAACTTTAAGTGCAAATTAAGGCAATGAACTAGATAGATAAATAGAGAGAGAGAGAGAGAGAGAATGACCTGTCGCGGATCTGGAGCTGGTCGATCATGGTGGCCATTCTCATCTTATCTTCCTCTGGAAGCGAATCCAGATCTCCTATCATGCTCTTGTCCATACTGGGTTGTATCGAGCTTTTACGATTTCAGCTTAATTGCTCTCTCTATGGAAAATCAAGAAGTTAGGTTAGGGTTTATCGAACAGGGCTCGCGCAGCAGATCTCTGCCTTTATAGTTAGGTAAACCCCAAGACTAGACGATGATCAGATCCGTGTCAACGGCACCGTTTAGCTACTTTGTCTTCTTGATAGTAGCCGTTGGATTTTGAGTTCTCCACACCCTTTTTTTACTTCACATTCAATTCCTGATAGTCGAAATTTTGTATATGAAGTAAAAAAGCATGTGCTATTCGTTCAAAAATTGAATGCTTTACAATTTTGAGTAAAATGATAGTTTTAGTGGATTAACTAGTTAGTTTGTTAAAAAAGAAAGTAACCCGTGGAAGTTAAATCTGCACAAAAATATATAAGCATAATTGTTTCCAGCTACAAGATAAAGCGTCATCTACAAATGCCTTACAATTTGTTTTGAACAAAAAATGCCTTACAATTTTTGTTGTGGATCATGTGGATTTTGAATTTATTCTATGTAATTAACTATTTATGAAAACAAAGGTGGGCATTGAACCAGAAAATGGGGCCGGTCCGGCTTGGAAAAAACAAAAAAATCCCCTTTGATTAGGCCCATTTGATTCCCTATTTTTTCACTTAAAATATAGTCGAACCAGTTATATAGTTCTGTTTTTCTAACGTTTTTCTTTTTTTGTTGGTGATCAACTTACATAGAGAGAGTTTGTTGTCACTAAGCGTTTTTAGTCTAAACAAGATCATGTGATGAAAACTTTACATATGTTATTATTTTATTGAAATGAAACGCAATGGTAGTGGTGAACACATTCCATATAAGTCATTCTCTTGTTACTACACATTTTACACAAAGTGTAGAACCGGTTGCACATAACCCAACCTGATAGTGCTATATGTTGCCGTTTAATTGTAGGGAATTGTTATTGACACTTCAAAATTTTCATTATACATTCCAAACTTTCTATAATTAGAAAGAAACAAACATTTGTGAGGAGTGTAGAATGAAATTTTTGGAATGCCAATAACATTTCCCTAATTTTATTAGTAATAATTGTTAAAGTTAAACTTAACACCTTTTACTTATAAATAGAGTCTCGTTTAATTGTATTAGTAACTTTTGATACGATGTTTACTGATCGACAGTTTGTTAAAGAAGTCCAAACAAACATTATCCAATCCTATAATCTCTGTGTGGGGTCCATCGTCTACCTGAGTAAGAAAAACCCCGCTTTAACCAATTCAACGATGTGGTACCTCAGCAGAACACCTTCAGTTTCAAATGCCAAACCAAATGATCAAACCCTCATTCCTTTGCACAATTCCATCTTCCCATTTTCTGATTCTGGCCTTTTCGATGAAATTTGCATTGTTGAAATCTGAAAAAGTCCCCTCATTGATCATAGAAACAACAACAAACAAGCGGAGACAACATATTCATTTCCATCATGGGAATGGTTTGCCTACCAATGCACTCCAACCCAATTCCATTGCGTGGTAGTCCATCGGGTTCTATCCGAATCAGGGTACAGAATCCAAGTGATCGGAGTCTTTCCGGAACAATTCTTGTGTGCCAAGCTTGTGGAGTGTCCTAATCAGCCTTATGCCAGTCTGTGTACCTATTCATGCAGTGACAATTCACTTGATGATGTCCCTAAAATGAACTGTGAGGACCGGAATCCATTCGGCACTGCCTGTGCCCTTCTTGATGGTACGTGGTTCTATGTTGCCGGAGGCTATAAGGGTAACCCTTCTAGTAAGCACTGCTATAATACGATGCATCATTTCCTAATTTTATGAAATGGTTTAATGTGTATGATTCAATATGTTTGGTGTTTTGTGTGTGGCCTGGTCATGGAAATATATCAAAATCAAATCAAAACTCGAAATATCAATTACCCAATTAGGGTTTTTGATGTGTGCTAGAACAAGCAATTTTCAATTTTAGCCATGATCAGTGAAAAAACACAAATATGTAAAAGAATTTTAGGCCGCTTTTCTAGATTTAGAAATATAGCCACTCGAGCACTCAGCTGAAAATGTGCACATTGGCACAATGATCGCATTTCTTGTAGAACTAACTCGATGATCATATGCAGATATTGATCCTTCATCTTACTTAAACTCGGCTGAACGTCTGAACCTGAAGACATGGAAGTGGCAAGCACTGCAAAACATGCAAAATCCACCCAGCCTTTGCATCAGGATTCACTCACAAAGGCAGGTTCTTCGTGGTTGTTGGCAGCAAAGCC